ACTCTTCGGATCGCTGGTCGAGCGACCCGGGGGATGCCCCGCGCGCCTGACCCAGGCGCGAAAACGAATCTGCGAGGCGCGGCGGCCGCTCATGCGGCCCGATGGGGAGGAGCGGGGCGGACTACGGGGATCGGCTTCTTTCACAGCCCTTCCCTGCAGCGAGCGAGCCCCCCTCCAACCCACCCGCCGCGACGACCTCGGGAAATGCAAGGTGTGAAGGCAAATCGCGGCGGCTTCTCGCTCCCCCCGCGGCCGGCCTTACTCCGCTTCGTCCGCCAAAGGCGCGAGCGGCGCCCTCCAACTCGCTCGCCGCCCTGCGCAGCACGCCCCCCTTCATTCCACGCGCCGATTCCCCGCCCCTCTTCCCAAAATTCCACCCCCTCGGCCGCACCGCTGCCGCCTGCCGCGCCCGTCTGCTCGCCCGCCCACCTCTGCATGCGCCCCCACCACTACCACCCGCACCCGTCCCCGCTCCTGCCCGCCCCCATCGCCGCGCTTGCCCACGCCACCGCCTGCCATGTGCCCTCCCCGCTGCCGCCTTTCCGCACCACCGTTCCCCGACAGTCTCGCCCACCCGAACGCCACTGTGCACACGTGTCATCCCCCTCTCCGCCTGGTCCTCCTCCCGCTCCCCTCTTGGTCCTCCCAGCCCTTCTCTCCGCCTGGTCCTCCCCTCACCGCCACCGCCCGCTCTCCGCCCGCTCCCAGGCGACGGACAAGAGCTCTACCGCCGCCATGCCGCTCATGGAGTGTACGCCGGAACGTTCTCGGAACCTTCCCCATAGGCATGCCGCTCATGGAGTACGTCGGCGAGGGCTCGCCGTACCACGAGGCCTTCCGGCAGCGCATCCCGGTGTCGGAGCTCTGGTGGCGGCTGCTCGAGCCGTATGAGTGAGCCGCGCGCCACGGCGAGAGATCACAGCGGGAGGTCACATGGAGATTGGTCCAGCGGGAGATCACAGCGCGAGATCAGCACATGGAGATCACAGCGTGATTTCACAACGGGAGATCACACGGTTCCATGTGGGACATCCAAGAGGGGCGGGTGGTGGGGTTGAGGGGGGAGCGCAACATACAGCTCGGCGTCGCCGCGCGCCGGCACTGTACGCGCCGGCACTTCTATACAAGCGGAGCTTTTGCCTTGTCCCCCCCCCCCTCCCCCCCTCCTCCTCTCAGGTACAAGGAGTGCCCCGACCATGTCAAGCTCAACGGCGACAAGTCCAAGGCCGGCGAGGGGGAGTCCGACCAGTTCTTCGGCCACTACACGATGACGCAGTACTACCACGACCACCGGCCGGTGTACAAGAACGAGGACCTCGCGCACCCCCATGCAGCCTGCTCCTCTCCAAGGGGGGGAGAGCCGCTGTTACTTATGGGGCTGCATGCGCGTGGCTCTAGGACTCGCCGATGTACCTCTTCCTGTCCAAGGCGGACAACAACAACTGGCTCGTCGGGCCCGACTTTCGCGGGAAGGCACACCTGCTCCCCCCCCCCTCGCCCCCCCTCTCCCCCCTTTCCCCCTTTGCTCCCTCCGCCCCTCTGCTCGGCTCCCCCCCCTTCTCCCTCCCCCCCGCCCCCGCCGCCGTCTTCCTGCCGCCCTTCTCCTGTCCTCTCCGACCCTAGCTGCGACCGCTGCGCGTCGAACTCATTCCTCCCACAGACCCATCCATCATCTCCCGCGCCTGAGAGGCGCGCGGGGTACACAGTCTTCACACACTACTCAACTCGGTCATTCATTGCAGGCGCGCGGGGTCCAGTCCAGCTCCGCAGGCCCGCCTCTCGCCTGCCCCCCCCCTCCGCCCCCCCCCCCCCTGCGGACGGCGCGGGGCCGTCTCGGAACTTTCTCGGAACCTTCTCGGAACCTTCCCCGTAGGCGCGGCTTCGTGTCCAGAAGAGGAACGAAGGGGTGGACGCAGCTTCTCCTGGACACCGAGAAAAAAGAACTCACCCGCGGCTGCATTTCTTTTTTCAGGCGAAGGGGTGGACGCAGCTCCTGCAAAGCGGGTGGAGCGACCGCCACGACTGTCGGCAGGCAGGCGCAGCTATCGGTCGTGCTCACTCCCTGAGTCTGAATGGGCGAGTAGGTGGAGCGACCCGAACGAGCCCGCAGACAGCAAAAAAAGAAATACGAGCACGCGCGGCCGTATTTCTTTTTTAGGTGGAGCGACCCGAACGAGCCCGCAGACAGCAACGCGAGCCACCCGATCAACGTCACCGCCGAGTGCTGTGGCAAGGAGAGGCTGGCAGCTGCTGCTGTGCCAGCCACTGGCGGACGCCTCTAGGCCACCGCTGAGTACTGCGGCAGGGAGGGGCCGCAGCTGCTCTGGCGGCCGATCGCTCGCGAGTGTGGCGACTCGCACCACGAGGAGCATATCTCCCCCATATCTCCCCCATATCTCCCCCATATCTCCGCCCATCTCCCCACATATCTCCCCATCTCATATCTCCGCCCATCTCCCCATATCTCCGCCCATCTTCTCTGAGCCACCTGAGAAGCCTTCCCTGCGCCCTCTTTGATCCCCCCCCCCCCCCCCTCCCCCCCCTCGCCCGCAGGAGTGGGTCACCTCCACACTCTCCGAGTGCGCGATCCACGACGACCGTCGCAAGAACCCGGAGAGCGGCATGGCCGACCAGTACGGCTCCTTCTGGGAGGACGGCGCCGTGCGCGCCAAGACGGACTTCAAGTGGTCGGTGCAGGTGCTATATCTCCCCATATCTCCCCATATCTCCCCATATCTCCGCCAAGACGACTTCAATGATCACCGGCTGT